TCCTGCCCCCCTGCCCCGATTCCCCAGGCTGAGCTGAATCCTGCCTGGGCAGGCTCCTGCCAGCGCAGCCCCTTCCCCTCCCCAGCCCAATGAACCCAGGGGAAGCAGGGGAAGGTAAAAATCCTCCGTGCCCGGCCTCTCCCAGGTGCTGGAGTTGCCCCTGGACAGACAGACAGACAGACCCCCCTGCTCCTGGCCTTGCTCACCGAGGAGATTTATTGAGTGAATCCGTGTGGAGGGGACAGGGAGGCACCGGGGCTGGGTGGCACAGCCCCAGCACCCCTGAAAGCCAAGAGGGGAGCAGGATGAGCCACGGGCACGCAGCCCAGGGCTCACACGAGCCCAAATAGCTGCGGGGACACGGGGCAGGAGGCACCCGGGGCTGTGCTGACACGTGGGCAAGGGGGCACAACCCTCAGCGTGGTGCCTGGAAGTGCCCAAAACCAGCTTTGGAGGGCACAGCCAGGGCACGTGGCACCATCTGGCCAGCCCTTTGCACCCCCACCGTAAAGGGACACTTGAGAGGGGTGGCACGATGCCCGCAGGCTCCCCGGCACCTTCTGCTCCCCCCCCTCCCCCCCGGTGCCGTCCCTGTCCCCTCCTAAAGGCTCAGCCCTCGGCGGGCAGCGGGGGCACGGAGGCCAGGGCGGGCAGGAGGTGGGCGTAGATGTCGATGCCCCGCAGGAAGACGTCCTCGTTGAGGAACTCGTTGTGGTCGTGCAGCAGCACCGGGGTGCGGTTCATCGGCGAGAAGCCGATGGCCGGGTGTCCTGCCTGGGGACGGGAGAGCGGGGTGAGAAGGGGGTTGGGACAAGCAGCAGGGACACAGGGGACAGGCTGGTGTCAGCACTCACTGCTCGGATGTAGCGGCTGTCCGTGGCGGCGGGGAAGATCTCAAGCTTCAGCTGCAGCTTCCTATAAAGCGAGATGTGGTGTCAGCGTGGCACGGGGACAGCTGGGTCCCCAGAAAATAAGCCAGAAAGGTCCCCAAGCCACGCGGGACACTCAGTCCTCTCCTCTCCATGGGAAATGGGGCACGGCGAGGTGCTGGCGTAGCAAAGGGGGCTCTCTCCCAACCCTGCCACAACACCCAAGCCCCGGGGACCAGAGGATGTCCCCCGGGTGCCCGCTGTCTCTCTCCAGGGGCACTACTCACATGTCCCTGCAGACCCCGCTGAAGGCTTTCCACCACGGGTCAGACTCCTCGGTGGAGGTGATGTGCTGGTCCATGCATTTCTGAGCGATGGGGGGAGAAGGGGGTGAGCACCCTGCGAGGGGCACAGGGTGCTGAGCCCTTTATCCCCGAGCCCTCACCTGGTGAAACTCGTAAGTGACACCGTCCCCAGCTGCCTGGCACCAGCCGGCCACCTGCTTCTCGAAGGCCTGCAGAAGACAGCAAAGGAGGGGTGTGAACGGGGGCACCCCCAGCCCCAAATCCCCCCGGCGGGGCCAGCATGGTGCCCACCTTGAGGTCCACGGTGGGTGGGATGCGGATGTCGAAGCCGGCGGCCATCTCGGAGGGCACCACGTTGAAGGAGACGCCCCCCTCCAGCATGGTCAGGTTGAGCGAGGTGACGTCCCCCAGGGTCAGCCTCGTGTCGGATTTGAGCCTCGGGGACACAGGGGGGAGAAGAGTCCCCACTCTGTCCCCGCCACCACCCCCACGCGGGTAAACTGAGGCAAAGGGGGGCACGGTGCTGGATCCCAGCCTCACTTCAGGTCCCCGAGAGGCCAAGGGTGGGCAGGACCCCTCCAAGGACCGAAGCAAAGCTGATGCCACCCCGTGGCCGTGCCCTACCTCTGCTTCTCGCTCTCCCTGAAGGCCAGGAAGGAGGAGATCACTTTGTGCTGGGGAGGCAAACATTTGGGTTAAGCCCCCCTGGAACCAGCCAGCCAGCCCCCCAGCCCAGGGGGCCAGCCCCAAAAGCAGCTCCCAAACACGGGCCAGGTGCCCATCCCAAAAGGTGCTCCCAGCCCCGGGGTCCCCCCTCGCTCACCATCTTCTCGGCCGCCGTGTTGCTGATGAAGCGGGACCCGTGCCCGGGGCTGCCCACGCACTTCACCTTGATCCCTGCAGCCACGGGGGACGAGGGAGAGGCGCTGAGCAGGAGCCCAGGGTGTACCCGGCACCCCGATGCCAAAACACCCAGCAGAGCAAGGGAGGGGGCGGTGGGCAGGTGGGTACTCACACCAGGGGCTCTTTTCACCGTAGAAGACGCTGAAGGTGTCGGAGGGACTGGCCAAGCCTGGGATGGGCACAGAGAGGTGTCAGAGGCTGGCACTGCGGGGGGCACTGCCTGGGGTGGCCCAGGGGGACCCCAGAGGCTTGGGGAGGGGGTGATGCCAACGCGCAGGGGGTGCCAGGTGAGAAAAGATCCCCTCGGGGGTCCAACCCTGCCACCGCTCACCCTCGTCCAGGGCAAAGCCCACGTTGAGCGCTCTGAACTCCGGGCGCTGCACGAACATCTCCATGCCCTTGTGTCCGCCCACCTCCTCGTCTGCAGAGAGAAGTTTGCTGGGGGAAAGGCGTCCCCCAGCCCGGCACCCCCGCGCCCTCCTTCCCTACTGGCTGCCCTCAGAGCTGGCCACCCCCCATCAGCCCTGAGCGAGGAGAATCCAAAATCCCAGCAGGCAGGCGCACGTCTCCCAGGTGAGGAGCTACAAAAAGCGTCCCCCGGCTGCCAGCCCACCCTGTCCCCTCAGCAGGGCACTCCCTGGGGACTTACCAGGCACGAAGGTCAGGTGGATGGTGCGGGCAAAGCTCTTCCCCTCCGCCTTCAGCCTTCGGATGGCCTCGAGGTACCTGTGGGGAGGGGGTGCTGGAAGGGCGCTTGGGTGCAAGGAGGGGGGCTGGGTGCAAGGAGAGGGGCTGGCGTCCCCTGGGCCACCCCAGCCAGGTGGCACCCTCACGCTGCTGCCGTCTCAGCACCATGGGGAGGCAAAATCCCCCCCGACCCTGCTCCGAGGCGCATCCACCCCGTGCCCAGCCAGCACCGAGCCCCCCCCTCACTGGATGGAGATGCACTTCATGTCCTGGGCACCCCGGGCGTAGATGTTGCCTTGCGAATCCTTAACAGCCTCGAAGGGCGGGTAGGTCCAGTGCTCCTGCGGGGAACAAGGGCTGTGACCTCCTGCTGTGCGCCGTCCCCGCTGTGCCCAGCCCGCCCCGTGGCCGTACCTCGAAAACCGGCACGACATCGGTGTGAGAGTTGAGCAGGATAGAGCGCAGGCGGGGGTTTGTGCCCAGCCAGGTGAGGACCAGCACCACGCGGCCCTGGCACACCTGCAAGCAAAGGCAGGATGTCACCAGGGTGGGGACAAGGGGACCCGGTGGGTTTGGGCACGCTTGGCCCCTCACCAGAGCCCCCTGGACGTGGCCACGAGCAGCCACAAGCTCCTGGCTGCAATTCAGGTGGAGTTGAGGGGAAATTGCCAGCCCCTCGGTGTCCCCTGTGCCAGCCAGGCGTGAGGGACATCTTCAGCCAACGTCACCCTGCCCGGTCCCCGGCTAATCATAGCGCAGCCAGCCCTAAAGGTCAGCGGGGACCGGCCGAAATCCAGGCTGCGAGAGGAGCTTAAGGAAGCACCGGGGTCAGCGGAGGATTAGGAGCAGCAGGGAAGTCACCTCCTGCCCCTCTCCTGGGTGGTGGGGAGGGGACAGCCCCACGGCCGGGCTGGGATGGGGACAGGCACAGCGGCAGCAGGGCTGGTGTTGCCTCGCTCACCTCCACTTTCTGGCTGGCCAAGCCCAGGTCGGTGCCGACGCGCTCCAAAAACTGGATGGCTGCATCTGGGGACGACAAAAAGATGAAGGGAGAGAGTTCGGGAAGGCAAAGTCCAGCAGGGGAGCCCGCCGTGTCCTGAGAAAAACATCTCCATGCGCTTCTGTGCGAGGAGGGAAATACTGATGGGAGAGAGAGGTACGTAGGGGTAACACAAATGTTTGTCCCAGACCCAGGGCAGCACGGAAAGGGGAGGCTGGGCCGTGGGTCTGCCGTGCCACAGGAGGACGAAAATCCCTGCAACGGCCCCAAACCATGGGCACCAGCAGGGATAAGGCACAGCCGCGTTCCCCTACACCTGGATCATCGACAGCCCTGGCCCAAGGAACCAGGCAGGAGGGTCCAAAGACCACACCAAAGGCTGGTGGAAGGGACGGAGCTGTGCCGCCAGCCGTGCCGCCTCCATCGCCCCCCAGTACCCCCCCTGTCCCCTCCTCACCATAATCGGGCTTGGGGTGGACGGTGTCAATCCGCAGGTACTGGCGGAAAAGTGTCACCGAGGGGTCCTCCGAGCCCCCCGCACTCTTCCCTGGCTTCCCGGGTGCCATTCCCGGGCTGCAGATCTCCGGGGGGGGGGGGAAAGAGCAGGGGGTGGTTAATCACCCACCACCCCCTCCAAAGTCCACCCTCATTAAAAGCTTGGGGCAAAGTTCGCCCTGGCGAGCACGGGACGGGGAGGGAAAAAGGGGCTGGGGGTGCGGGGGGCCGAGGGCGTGCGGGTTTCTGCGGGGGGCTACAGGAGGGGTGCGGGGGGAGCGGGGGCACAGGGGGTGCCTGGGGCGTACGGGGGAGGACAGGGGGACACCGGGGGTGCGCGGGGCAGGGGGGCTACGAGGCAGGGTTGCGCTCAAAGGGGGGCGAGGCTACGGTGGCGAAGGGCGCACGGGGACAGGGAGCGGGTGGAGAGGGGGGGGGGGACCCCAGCAGCACGGCGGGGAGCGGGGGCACCGCGCACGGGGTGGCGAGGTCGGGGGGGTCCCACGATGGGGATGAGGGCAGAGGGGCTCGGGCTGCAGGAAACTGGCCCCGGGTCCCCCCCCCTCCCCGGTGCACCGGGCCCTACCTCCGCGCTGCCGCCGCCGCCGCTGGGCTTCCGCCTGGTCCCGCTCCGCCCCCCCCCGGGCCGGCCCCGCTCCGCCTCCCCCCCCCTCCCTTTACCCGGGCCAGGAGCCCGGTGCCCGCCGTTCAGTTCCAAAGAATGGCTCGGGGAGGCTTGGGGAGCCCGGAGGAGATCGGTTTATTGGCCTCACGCGTTGCCCCCCCACCCCAAAATGTGCTGGGCCCCCCTCCAGGGGATGTTCTCACCCCCCAAAAGGCAACGGCTGTGTCCCGTGCCATCCCCATCACCCCAAAGCTCGGTGCTCAGAGCCGTGGTGCCAGGGAGGGGGACACCGGGGGGTACATGCCCAGGTCAGGGGCACCCCCCTGGGAACGCCCCGTGGCTGCAAAACTGTCTTTCAAAATTTGGCAAAGCGACGTGGGACCTCCGGATCCTGGGGCAGGTGCTGCTGCAGGGTGGGTGCTGTTTGGAGAAGCCCCCCCCAAACTCCTTGCTGCCCCTCAGGGCCGGGCACGCTGCCACCGAATATGGCACGGGGGCGAACGGCCCGGCTGTGTGACAAAGCAGGGTGCCAGCACCCCGCCGTCCTCCGCTGCGTGGGGACGGAGCCCGAGCTCACTGCAGCTGGCCGAGGAAGCCCAGCAGCGCCCGGTGGAAGTCCCCCGGCTTGTCCAGGTAGCAGGCATGGCCAGCGCCGGGCAGCACGGCCACGCGGTGCCTGGGGAGGTGCCGGAGGCTCTGCAGGGCCTGGGGGCCCAGGTGGGTGTCACGGTCACCGTACAGGATCAGGGTGGGCGTCTGAAGAAGAGGGGAGAGATTTGGGATGTCGGGGAGGGAGACGCCAACCCCTACCCATCGCCTCAGCCCTCTGGGGCCAGCCCAGCGCCCCCCGAGCTGAGGGCACAGCTCCCATCCTCCATCCTCAGCATCCTCCATCCTCCACGACCTCACCTGGACCCGCTGGTACTGCCCCACGGCGTAGTCCCGGGTGCCCACGGGCGCGATGGGCACGAAGCCCCCCAGGCGGTCCCCGTGCAGCAGGAGGAAGGGCAGGGCGAAGCGGCCGCTCATGGACGGGCTGACGAGGACGGGCCTCTCCAAGCCCAGCTCCTCCAGGATGCGCTCCAGGAAGGCCACCCGGCCCTGCTGCGTGGCCACCGTCCCCGTGGGGGGCGAGTCCCCGTAGCCTGGCGTGGGCGCAGGGTGCAAGGTGGGCGAAAACGGGCACTGGTGTGAGCCCCAGGAGCTCCAAGCAGGGTCACACAAGGTCTGGGTGGCTGGGTGGGTGACACCCCACGGGGACAGCCCAGCCCTAGAGCTCCCTAAGGAGCTCCAGAGCCCGCTCACAGCCGTGATGAGCGTGGCCCCACGGTCCTACCGGGCAGATCTATGGCGACCGCGCGGTGCCCTTCTCCGGCGAGCAGCGCCAGCGTCCCCAAAGCTTCCCAGGTGGCGGAGCTGAAGGCTTGGCCGTGCAGCAGCAGGACATCCAGCCTGGGGCAGGGCACAGAGGCATCCGAGGGGCTCAGCACCGGGCCGTGCCCGCAGCACCGGGCGGCCACCAGCATCCCCCGGGGGCACGGGGCACCCACCTGCCGGGGCCGGGGGCGCGCAGCCCGGTTGCCTCCCGGTAGGCGACGGCGGGGCCGGTACCAGCAGCCGTCCCCCTCCGCACCGTGCTGCTGTTGGCCGGGGGGGCGCGGTGCAAAGCCGGGGGGGGGCGGCGGAGGGCGGCGGGCAGCAGCAGCAGGGCGAGGGCGCAGGCGAGCAGCGCCCCGAGGGCCAGCAGCGCCGGGCGGCTGCGGCTCATGGCAGCGCTGGGGGGCTGCGGGGAGAACCCCCCCACCCGGGGCCCCCGATCCTCCGCTTCCTCGGTGCTGCCGGCCCCAGGCTCCGCCTGTAGGGGCGGTGGAGCGCGGCCAAGCCCGGCCCCTCGCACCCCCGGTGTCCCCCCGGTGTCCCCCGGTGTCCCCCGGTCCCCTCCGGTGCCAAGCCGTGCGCTGCCCCCGCGCGGCTTGGAGGGAGCGGATGCGCTGGGCTGTGCTGGGCCGGGTTTGGCACGGCTCGGCACGGCTCGGCTCGGTTTCGCCTCCCCCCTTTTTTGGCCCCGCCCGGCCCCGCCGCTCTCCGCCTCCGCCACCCTTTGCCCCCGGGGCCCGTCGAGGCGGAGCGGGGCACGGAAGGAGGTGAGGGAGCGCGGGGACGCACCCCAAATCACACACCCCAAATCCCCCGGACCCCCTCGGGATGGCCACCCCGCAGCTGAGCGAGGGCACCGTGGAGGTGTCGGGGCAGAGCCTCTTCTACCGGCAGGCACAACCGGGTGGCCGTGCCCCGCGGCTCAACGTGCTGCTGCTGCACGGCATCCGCTTCTCCTCCGACACCTGGCTGCAGCTGCAGACCCTGGCCGTGCTGGCTGATGCCGGCCACCGAGCCGTGGCCATCGACCTGCCCGGTAAGGCACGGGCAGCACCGAGCACCGGCAGGTGGAAGCCACTCGTGCCACCCCCGGTGCCCGGTGGCACGGTCCCGAGCCGCCGGTGCCACCCGTCATCCCGTGGGTGACGTGTGGCACGGGCTTTGGGGTGACGTCCCCTTTTTGTCCCACCCCACAGGGCTGGGGCGCTCCAAGGACGCCGTGGCCCCTGCGCCCGTGGGGCAGCCGGCGCCGGGGGGGTTCCTGAAGGCCGTGGTGGAGGCGCTGGGGCTCGGTCCGGCCGTGGTGGTCAGCCCCTCGCTCAGCGGCATGTACTCCTTGCCTTTCCTCCTCCAGCACGGGCACCTGCTGAAAGCCTACGTGCCCGTGGCACCCATCTGCACCGACAAGTTCCCGGCGGAGCAGTACGCCCAGGTCAAAGTAAGGGTGATGGGGGGCACGAGGAGGGGGGTGGGAGCATCTCCCGTCTCCATCCTGTGCCAGGAGCATCTCCGTCCCCGTCCCCATCTCCTGGGGGACGGAGATCGGAGGTGTTTCTGCCGTCCACACGATGCTTCGGTGGGCAGGGAGGAGGGCGAGCATCCCCCTGCCTCCCCCTCAGCCTGTCCCCCCCTCTGCAGACGCCCACGCTGATCGTTTACGGGGACCAGGACGCGGAGCTGGGCCAGGCCAGCCTGAACAACCTGCGGCACCTCCCCGAGCACCAGGTGCTGGTGCTGCAGGGCGCAGGGCACGCCTGCTACCTGGACAAACCCGAGGAGTGGCACCGCGGGCTCCTGGCCTTCCTACAGCAGCTGGAGTGAGCGGGACGGGGCACGGGGCCAGCGGGGGAGCCTGGCACCACTCCCCTCACCAGGACCAAATAAAGCCACCAGCTTTTTTGCTGCCCTCCTGCTTCCTTCTCCCCGGTTCCCCCCTGGCTTTCCGCTCTCCTCCGTGGCCACGGTGTTGTGCCCACCCCTCCGGCCGCACACCCACACCCAGGTTTAATCCGAAGGGGCTTAAAAGGTGACTGCCAGCCCTGGCTGTCCCCTGCCCACGGTGGCAGCAGCAGCGTGCTCAAGCGCCCCAGGGGATTTATTGCCGGGAACAGATGGAGGGGCGGGGAGGCCAGACAGACGCCTGGCCGGACAGACGGAGGGACAAACCGTGCCCACCACCTGCCTGTCCCCCCTGGGAGCTGCCGAGCCGGCCACTCGGGGTGCAGATGGGGCCAGCAGTGGGGTGCCACCCCCCCCCTTTTTGCTCCCCATACCCCCCCCCTCCAAGCCTGCCTGGGCTTTAGCTGCTTAGCCAGGGCCCAGGAGGATTTAGTGGGGCCGCGGGGGCGAGGGGGTGGCAGCGTTGGGGACACCTGCTTGGGGGGCAGCAGCCTCCTAGCATCCCGCTGCCCTCAGTGGGGCCGGCACAGTGCATGGGGGGGGGGGTCCCCAGCACCCAGCCGGGTTGTGGGGTGCTGCCAGCAGCACCCTTGGGTGCCGGGCTGGCACCGCCAGCCCTGCCCGCCCGGTGCCCTTGAGCCCTTGAGCCCTGCCAGCTGATCGGCTTCCAGGAAACAAAATGCAATTACAAAGAGGGGCGATGTGCGAGCCAAAGGGGGGGGGTTGGTGGTGTGGGGGGGGGGACAGGAATGTCCCCAGCGGTGGCAGATGGCCTTACCCAGGGTGCATTGTTCCTTTCAGTGTCTCTTATCCGCTGTAATAGGATCCCGGAGGGAGGGAGGGATGTGGGAGAGGGGAAGAGCAAGGGGGGCCCCAGCGGGCCGGGGTGGGGGCCGGGGCTGCCAGCCTGGCCCCAGCAGCCCGTCAAGCGGCTCATTGTCCCTGCCCCGGGTGGCACTCGGCGACACCGGCAGCGATGTGGCACTGAGCGGGGCACCGGGCGGTGGCACCGGGAGCACGGAGAGGTACCGGGGGGGGGGCGGCACCCCGGGGGGGGGGGGGGAGGACACACACACACACACACGTTTCCTTCTGGGAAATTGGGGAGGGGGGGTCCTGCCCTGTGTCCCCTGCCACCCCACAACCTCCTCCCGTCCCCCTCGGGGCTGCTCAGCCCCCGGGGACGCGCCCATCGCCACCCAGCCCCCGGCCCTGCCGCTCCCTCCCTCCCCTTGAAGGGCGTGGGGGGGACGGAGGGGGGGGACACACACACACGGACACTCCCCCCCCACCTCCCCGCTCCCCCCCTTTTGTCCCCTCTTTTGTCCCCTTTTTTCTCCCCGCTGCCGCGCACCCGGGGGCGCAGAGATGCCCCCCTCCTCCCCCACCTCCCCAAATCCCGTGTCCCCGCTGGGGAGCCCTGGCAGCCCCCAAAATAGCCGTGGCCCCCCCACCCCCCCACCCCTCCACCACCCCCCCCCGGGCCGGCCCCGACACGGGCGCTTTGTTCCCCAGCCCCGCTTGGCATCGCCGCCGGGGCCGCCCACCCGCGGCCGGACACGCGGCGATTGTCCCTCTGTCCTGCTGTCCCTCTGTCCTGCTGTCCCCTCCCCTGCTGGCACCGCGGGGACGAGCGAGCCGCCCCCGGCCCGGGGGGCTGCAGGGGTTTTAGGGGGTCCCCGGGGACTCGGTGGCCTCAGTTTTCCCCTGGGTAGGGTGGGCGAGCAAAGCGGGGACCCCCTCCCTGCAGGCAGCCGGCTCCTGCCTCAGTTTCTCCTCTTTTTTGGGGTGTGGGGGGAGCAGAATCAGGGTATTCCCCCCCTCCCTTAAGGAGAACCCCCCCCGTGTCCTCCCCAGGCCATGGCATCGCCGAGCGGCGCGGAGGGTGGCCCCGAGGAGCCGGAGCTCAGCATCACCCTGACCCTGCGCATGCTCATGCACGGCAAGGTAACTGCTGGAAATTGGGGGGTGGGGGCCGTGCTGGAGCGCCCACCCCCTGGGGATGAGCATCTCTGGGAGGTTTCCTCGCCCCCATCCTAAACCCGGGCTCTCCTCGCCCCCGCCAGCTCTGCCCCGGTGTCACCGGCTGCGTGTCCCCGGGGCCGGGCTGGGGCGCTGCCCACTAACGGGGCTGCCCTGGGCTCTGCTCCCGCAGGAGATCGGCAGCATCATCGGCAAGGTAAGAGCTGGGGGGCCCCGGGCTCTGCTGGCCCTGGGGGCTCCTGGCCCTGACCACCGGCCCCGTTCCTCTCCCCGCAGAAAGGAGAGACGGTTAAGAGGATACGAGAGCAGGTAAGGGCGCACGGGGCGGCTGCGGGTTGCTCCGTCCCGGTGCCTCCCTGCACTCTGGCACCCCAATTTTCCCCCCCTGGGACGCACGGGGTAGTGGGATGGGGAGAGCCCAGGGGGCACGGGGAAAGGAAAAGCCCTGACGGGGCGTGCCACCGTCCCCAGAGCAGCGCACGCATCACCATCTCGGAGGGCTCCTGCCCCGAGCGCATCACCACCATCACCGGCTCCACCGACGCCGTCTTCCGAGCTGTCTCCATGATCGCCTTCAAGCTGGAGGAGGTGGGCAGCCCCCCCCGCCCCTCCTTCCCCAGCAAGGTGCCCCCCATCCCCTCCATGCCTGGGGGTGCAACGCCCACATGAGTGTGTGTCCCCCCTTGTCCCCCCTGTCCCCTCCGCAGGACCTGGGAGCAGGGAGCGCCGAGGGGGCCGCGGCGGGCAGGGCGCCGGTGACGCTGCGCCTCGTCATCCCCGCCAGCCAGTGCGGCTCGCTCATCGGCAAGGCCGGAGCCAAGATCAGAGAGATCCGGGAGGTGAGGATGGGGATGCCGGGCCCGGTGAGGGGGGAGGCCAAGATTTGGGGGGGAGGAGGCCCCATCGCTCGCCCCACGGCTCGGGTGCCACCGCGCTCCCCGAGAAGCGACGCAGGAGGCAGAGCATCACCCCACAAAAGTCCTGGGAGGGGCTGGGGGGAGAGCGAGAGGCATCGCAGCACCCCCCCCATCCCCTCCAGCAGCCCCCTTTGCCTCCCCCAGAGCACGGGGGCTCAGGTGCAGGTGGCTGGCGACCTCCTGCCCAACTCCACCGAGCGCGCCGTCACCGTCTCGGGGGTGCCGGACACCATCATCCAGTGCGTCAGGCAGATCTGCGCCGTCATCCTGGAGGTAGCCGCCCAGCCCCGGGCACGGCAGCCCCTTGGGAACACCCCTGCCCAGCCCGCCGGTGCTGTGGGAAGCAGCAGGTGCTGGAATGGGGAGGGGGAACCCGACCCCATCTCATCCCCTCCACTTCCTTCCCTCCCTTTCCAGTCGCCTCCGAAGGGGGCCACCATCCCCTACCACCCCGGGCTCTCCCTGGGCACCATCCTGCTCTCTGCCAACCAGGTAAGGGGCTTGGGGACGGTAAGGGGGGGCTCTGGTGGGCTCGGGGTTTGGGGGCGGGGGTCTCCTTGCTGTCCCCTGTCCCCCCGTGGCCCCCAGCTGACGCCCATCGTCCCCCCCCAGGGTTTCTCCATGCAGGGGCAGTACGGTGGGGTCTCTCCAGCAGAGGTGAGTCCTGTCCCTGTCCCCTGTGCTGGGGCACTGCTGGGACCCCCGGGGGATGTCCCCGTGGGCACGAGGTATGTGCCAGAGCCCAGCCTGGGGGATCAGGGGGCTCTGCCATCACCCCTAACGCCTCCGTCTCCTCCTAACGCCCGGGCAGGTCACGAAGCTGCAGCAGCTGTCGGGGCACACGGTGCCCTTCACGCCCCTGGGCCACCCACCCTCCATGGTGCCAGGTGAGCTCCCCATTAGGGCTGGGCACCCCGGGGCTATCTATGCCCCTTCTGACCTATTCCTGGCCCTGGCAAGGCCAAGGGGGTCCCCATCCCTCGTGCCCTCCCCAGTCGCATCTCCTTGGGATGCCCTCCCCACCCCAAGACCCTTTTTTTGGGGGTCTCCTAACACCTCCACCTCTCCCTCCAGGCCTGGATTCCAGCTCACAGAGCAGCTCCCAGGAGTTCCTGGTGCCCAACGATGTACGTGTGGGTTCTGGGGGGGGACCTAGTGTCTTGCACCCCCCTCCACAGCCCCTGGGAGCTCCCTGCTCCTCGCCAAATCCCAATATTCCCCCCCGGGATGCCCGGCCCCGCTCAGCCTGGTTGTGTGTGTCCCCCCTCCCCAGCTGATCGGCTGCATCATCGGCCGGCACGGCAGCAAGATCAGCGAGATCCGGCAGATGTCGGGCGCCCACATCAAGATCGGGAACCAGACCGAGGGCTCCAGTGAGCGGCACGTCACCATCACCGGGTCCCCCGTCAGCATCACCCTGGCTCAGTACCTCATCACCGCCTGGTAAGCTCCCCAAAAAAACACCGGGGAACGGGGGGGATGCTGGCTGCAAGAGTGGCACCGCCCAGCACCGCAGCTTTTGGGGACCCCCTCCACGTGCAGGTGGGTACCTGGAGGTCCTCAGACAATAGGGCAGGGCCCTGGACCCCGCAGGGTCTCAGCCCCCCAGCGGGGTGCCCAGGATGCGCTGCAGGCACCCGTGCCACAAGGGATGGGGGGCGTGGGGTCTACGTGCCCTACAGCGGGCAGGTGACCCCCGTAATTTATCCCCGTGCCCCTCACCACCCTACCCATCCCGTTTGCCCCCCTCCCAGCTTAGAGACAGCCAAATCTACCTCCCAGGTGCCACCCGGCCCTGGCTCCGTGGACCTCGGCGTGGGTTTCTCCCAGCCGCTCGCCCCGGGCTCCGGCGCAGCCCTGCCTGCAGTGGCTGCCCCCCCGCCGGCCCTGCTGGGCTCCCCCTACGCCCTGTCCCTCTCCAACTTCATCGGCCTGAAGCCGGTCTCCTTCCTGGCACTGTCCCCGTCCTCCGTGGCGGGTGCCAACGGCGGCACCGCCACCTACACGACCAAGATCTCGGCGGCCAACGGCACCAAGAAAGCTGACCGGCAGAAGTTCTCCCCTTATTGAGCCCCTCCGCGGGTGGATCAAGGTGGGTGGGGGGGGTCCTGGGGTCACCCCGTGCCGAGGACACCCCTCCCTGTCCCCCACCCTGTCCCCCAGCCCCTGCCAGGCACCCACCCCAGCGCCCCGTGCCCAGGGGATGGTGCTCCCGGGGTCGATGCCTGCTGGAGCAAAGGGTTGCTCTGATGCGCGTCCTGGCAGCACTGTGCCCCCTTTTCCCCCCCCCCAAAGCTTTCCTACATGTCCCCTGGTATTACTGGGGGGCTGTCCCCATCAGGGGGGCCGCCCTCCCAGTGCCAGGTGTCCCTCGTCCCCTGTCCCTCGCCCTCCTGCCCACGATGCTGCCCCTCTCCTGCCGTCCCCGGCCCCGTGGGCTGCACCCGAAGGCCAGATCCCGCTGATGAGGGGCTGCCTGGGCCCTCGGGGGTCCCCCATCCCCTGGCTGTGGTGGGGGGGGCCTTCCCCTGGCTGCCCTGTGGCTGTCGCCTCCCTCCCATCCGGCAACCCCCCTGCCCCCCCCGAGAGCCTGCTGGCTTGGAAATGCTGTATATATAAGTCTATATTTTTCCTCCTTTGTAACTTATCAATGGTTTAATAAAAAGATAAAATTTACGGGTGAAAAAAAAAGAAATAAAAAATTCCATCCCCCGGGGTTGGAGACACCCCCAGTTCTGGGGGTGACACGGGGGGGGGGTGGCCCTGTGGCCAGGGGTGCTGGCCCCTTGGTCTCAAGCTCTCTGAAAGTCTCCCCAAAGCCCCCTCCCTGCCGTGGGCCCGATCCCCCACCCCAAGGGAGGGTCCCTGAGCTGCTGGGGCTGGTGTTACTGGTGTTAGTGGTGTTAACTGGGCCGGGGAAGGGTGCCCGGGGGGGCCACTGTGAGCGCCCTGGAAGGGGTCCCACAGGACAACGGGGGGTCCGTGGGGGAGCCCCTCAGCTTCCCATATCCCACATCCATCCAAGTGTGCAGAAGGGAGACGAAGGCTCCCAAAATCTGCCATGGAAACCCAGGCAAGGACCCCCCCTAGGTCCAAGGGGGCTGTGATCGGTGTGTCCCCCCCTGGCACGGTGGCACCGGGCTCCTCAGCCGCTCTCCTCGGGAACTTGCCCTGGGATGGGGAAGCCCACCTTGCTCTGGTCCCTGGGGCTGGGGGCGATGCAGCTGGAGCGGGTTTCCAGCGTGCAGGTGGCTCGCTGGAGGAACTGCAGGAAATTTTCCTGGACGGAGGCCTCCGAGACGGCCAAACACAGCTCCTGGCCCAGGGGCCGGTTGAGGCAGCTGCGCCAGAGCCTGGCCAGCTCCTCCCGAATCTGGCGGTTCAGCAGCCCGTAGAAGAAAGGGTTGATGGCGAAGGAGGAGTAGGCGATCCAGGTGACCGTCATCTCCCCGTGCCCGCCGCCCGCCGCCCCGGCGCTGACGGAGGAGTGCAGGTGGAAGGCGAAGAAGGGCAGCCAGCAGCACAGGAACTGTCCCACGATCAGGACCAAGGTGAGGATGGCTTTGTGGCTTCCCAAAAAGCGCTCGGGGCTCAGGCGGGGCAGCGGCAAGCTCCTGGAGGTGACGATGCTCACTTGGCTGGCGGCGGAGCCGGAGCGGGGCCCCGGCACGGCCGCCTGTGCCGGCAGGGGTGCGTGCTGTAGGGCCGCCAGCCGAGCCACCCGGTAGACGCTGCAGTAGACAGCGAAGATGATGACGGTGGGCAAGACGAAGCAGGCGATGCTGAAGATGATGACAAACGCCTTCTTGTGGGCCCCGGGGCTCCAGTAGACCGTGCAGCGGCTCGCGCTGGTGGCCCCGTTGTCTTGAGGCCAGCCCACCAGCGCCAAGACGGTGACGAGGACGGATTTGACCCAAATGAAGACGACTCCGGCCACCGCCAGCCGGATGGTCATCTTGACCTCGTAGCGCATGGGGTGGACGATGTAGTAGTAGCGCTCCACGCTGATGACGGAGACGGTGAGGATGGAGGCGCTGATGAAGCAGACGTTGAGGAATATCAAGGCCCGGCACTCGGCGATGCTGTAGATGACCCCGTCGAAGCAGGAGGAGCTGGAGATGATCCCCAGGGGCATGAGGAAAATGGCAGAGAGGAGGTCGACCGCGCAGAGGTGGCAGACGAAGATGAACTTCCTGAGGAGGGGGGTTTTGAGGATGACCACCAGCACCACCACGTTGGCCACCAAGGCGGTGACGGTGAGCAGCACCATGCAGAGGAGGCCCACGGCCTCCTGGGCGGCGTTCTGCCCCGGGACGGGGGGCGACTCGAGGCCGTCCGTGGTGTTGGGCCCCCCCTGGCTCGCCATGCCAGCTGAGGGCTAAGCCAGCAGCTCCGGCGCCCGTGTGGCAGGGACAACTCTGCCGCGGTCCCCCAGCGCAGCCATGGCCACCGTCTTCTCGTCAAGCAGGCCCCTCGCCTGTTGGGGAGGGGAGAGGGGTGTGAAGGAGAAGGAGCAGAGCGAGGAAGAGCCGTGGAGAAACCCACCGAGGGTCTCCAGAGCGCCCCGGATATGCTGGAGAGGTGGCAGCGAAGGGCTGGCACTGCCGGCACCCCAACCACCCCAGCCACCCCATTCCCCTGCCCACAGGGGTACAGAAAACCCCATATGCCCCATCCCCACGACCCCCACCCACTCTGGGTCCCCCTCCTCGTGGCCGGGGGACCCTCGGTGGCAACGTGAGACCCACGCACCTCTGCTCCTCGGGAGATGGGTGCTGCTCCTCCTCGCCGGCGCTGCTCCACGGCGGCACTGGGGCTCCCGGAGGCCACGTCCGTGTGTCCCCCCCCCCTATGTCCCCCCTTCCCCGCGGCTGTCACCCGTTAGTCATCGTGTTTGCCTGCCGCGGATGGCACCGGCTGTCACACCCGGGCTCTGCCTGCCCGCTGCCAGCAGCGGGCCCACGGGGAGAGCTGCTGGGTCCTAGCAGCCGGCGGGTGACACCGCAGGGGGGACACAAGGGTCCCCAGCCCGTGGGGCCCGACCGACCCTCACCCAAGCGCACTGTAAAGGGTGGGAGGGCGGCACACCAAGGAGGGTGACACAGGGGGATGTCACTTGTCATCGGGGTGGGACAGCCGGGTGTCTCCGTGGGGACATGGATATGTCCCTGGGGGGCTTCAGGGTGCGGAGAGGGGCTTGGTGGGGTTGTCGTGGCTGGCACGGCACCAAAGGGAGGGCAGGCGCTGTGGATATGGGGACGGGCCCCTCCACAGCAGCACATCTCCCTCGTCCTCGTCCCCTCCGCAGCCCTGACACCACGGTGGTGGGCACCAGCCTGGCTACGGCGATGAGGGAAACCCGCTTGGCCAAGCTGTTGGATTTCACCTCGAGTCTGCCAACACCGATGGCTGCAACAGTTGTGGCCCTCCTGGAGCCACCCACACTGCGGGGTGACACCAACCTGGGTGCCCTACTCCTACTCTGCCCCCTGTGCACCCAGCAGGAAAGCGAGGCACCGCTGGGCACGGGGCACGGCGGATTTATTGGTGGTCAGAGCAGGCTGGGCCCCTTCATCTCTCACCCCGAGGGAATGACCGGGGGGGCTCAGAGCACCAGGGCCTCAGAAGCGGAGCTGAACGAGGTAGCGGAGCCGGCACTGGCTCTCCTGGTAGATGAGGTACTCGCTCTGGCTGAAGGAGGACTCCTTGTAGGCGGGCACGGGGACGGGCTTGCCCTGGCACACCAGCACCTTCTTCCCATCCAGCAGCACCTCCTCATCCTGCGCGGGGTCTGGGCGAGAAGACCCCACACCGCATCAACCCCGAGCCCCAATCCATCCACCCCATGCCCTCCCCCAGCCCCCCGTGCCCCCCGTTCTCACCTGGCTCGGTGCGGCCACAGGCCAGGACGCTGTCGTAGCCAGCGGGCGGCTGCCGCAGCGTGGGGTCGTCGCAGGTGATGCGGTACGGCTTGCCCAGGGCCACCTCCGTCAGGAACATGATGCCCACCCTCTGGGCCGTGCAGCCCACTGCCACCACAGGAGGGAAAGGATGGGATGGGGTGACAGAATCAGCGCCATCAAGTCCCACCCAGCTGTCACCCAGCACGGAAGGGGCTCAACCCGGTGTATGGCACGGGGATCTGGGTTTGCACCAACCCCACAGACGTCCCCACGGGCCTGGCGTGCTCACCGTAGCAGGCAGATTTGCTGTTCTCGGAGGCGAAGTAGATGCCCCTGCCCACGCGGCCGCCCGAGTGGGGCATGATGCGCAGCCCGTTCCTCAGGATGGCCGCGATCACCGCCACGTTGGTGCCGTGCCAAAGCAGGCGCCGGTGCTCCAGGTGGTCGTGGGCCTGGAAGGACTTGTCCTGGAGAGACGTGGAGCTAAGGGCTGGCCAGGGCAGGGGACGTGGGGCTGCCCCAGCTCCAGACACCCCCCCTGAGGACCGAGCCCAGTCACAGGGGCACGGTCCCCAGCTGGGGACCTGCAGCTCCTTCTTCTCACCTCCCCTTCTCGGGCCACCACCCAGATGTTGAGGATGCGGGCCTGGTTCCCTGTCTGCACCACGTAGTTTTGGATCAGCTGCCGGGAAAGGAGGCAGGGACACGGTGTCACCACAAGGCAGCCATCCAGCCGTGTCCCCACCGAGGAGGTGGCACCTGGAGGGCTCCCCGCAGTGCTCGGGGTCCCTGTGTGCCGGTGGGGACCCCAGCACCTGGTGCTCCCGGGAGGACGGGTCCAGCAGGGAGAGCTGGCAGCAGAGCAGGGCGTAATCCTGGTCCAGAGGGTGGGCGACCTCCTCCTCCTCCTCCTCTTCCTCTGCCTTCTGTGCCTGCAGGCTCTGTGCCACCTCGATGTCAGCCAGCACCTGGCAGGGACACAGAAGGGGACCTCACTGGGGACCCTCACTGGGGACCGGGGACCCTGCCACCTGCTCGGTGGGGACGGGTGGCGCTGGCTACAGGCCGGCCAGCATCTCACCAGCAGCATGTCCTTCTTGGCACGCAGCAGGTCGGGGGAGTCGATGAGGGGCGGCCGTGCCCGCCCAAAGTTGTGGGGGACGATGGTGTAGAAGCGGGAGGAGAGCTCCTCCAGGCGGGCGGCCCGGGGGGGCTGCTCCTTCAGCGCCGCCTCCAGCTCCTCCAGCGCCTCGAAGCCCCGCGCGATCTGCTGCTTGCTCAGCTTCCCCAGCGGCATCTTCTTCACATCTAGACAGGGGCAGAGGGGTTGTCATCACCCCCCCTTCCCACACCAGGCACCCCCCAGCTCTGCTCCTCTCTCAGCGCCCCTCCCAGCATCGCCGTGGTCCTGGTTGGACCCCAAAGGGGATGCTCTGAAGACCACCAGCAGCTCTGCCGCAATCAGCAGGGGCTTTCCCCATCCCCCCAGCACCTCCTACCGATATTCATGGTCTTCATGGCATCCCGGAACATGTCGCTGCTGAAGATGAGGGCCACCAGGTCCTGCGTGGTCTTGTCCAAGGTGCAGGGCAGCACGCGCCGCTTGGGGACCTTCCCCCCGTCCACGCCATCCGCCTGCGGGGGCAGCCAGAGCCTCGCTGAGCTGCCAGAAGCTGAGAGCTGGCTCTGCCCACCTGCCATGACCAACACCACCCCGATGCTCCCTCCCACCCCGTCTCAACCCATCACCCCAAATCTCTGCTTGTGGGCTGCTTCAGCTCTCACGCACAGGATCAGAGAACACCCCAAGTTGAAAGGGACCCATAAGGATCATCGAGTCCAACTTCTTGCCCCACACAGGTCCACCCAAAAATTCAGACCCTATGACTAAGAGCACAGTCCAAACGCTTCTTAAACTCCGACAGGCTTGGTGCTGTGACCACATCCTCGGGGAGCCTGTAGCAGTGTGTGACCACCCTCTCAGTGCAGAACCCCTGCCCCCGGGTGATGCCCTGGCTGCCCGCTCACCCTGACGGTGACCTCCAGCTCCTGCCCGGCCCCCGGCTGCACCTCGATGAGCGTGTACTTGCCCGGCTGGGCCACGAAGTTCTCCCGCTCCGCCCAGCTGTTCTTGGTCTTCTCTCGGAATTTCTTCTCAAAATCCTTCTTGGCAGCTTCCAGAGAGGCGAAGGGCGTGAGCTTGGACTGGCCCACCTCCCCCTGCAGCAGACACAGCGTCAGGGGCACCGAGCATGAACCACAGCCTGACATCCCTGCTGAGCTGTCACCCAGCCTGGGGACCTGTCCTTGATGCCCCCAACCCCAAGGAGGGTTTGTGGCAAAGCCACTCGCTCTCTCATTTCAGGATGGGGAAGGTGGGATGGGGAAGCAGGCAGGGAGCACCCGGTTCTCCCCAACCACCTGGGGGACCCCGGGCACGGCTCCCCTCGTGGGGACGGCCGCAGGATGGGCTCACCACGCGTCCCCAGCGGCTCCAGGTGCTGTAGGCGCCGCCGTGCTGGATGAGCTGGATGATGTAGAACTTGTTGTTGTTGGCGCTGATGTTGGTCTGGTTCAGGGTGCAGTCGTAGTCCTCATAGACCTGCAGCAGGCAGCAAGCAGGGTGGCATTCGGGGGGAAGAGGGGCACTCTGTGGAGCTGGGGACAGGCAGAGGGGCTGCAAGGGGTCTCGGGGCTGCCCCCATGCCAGCAGGGCAGGGGGTCCCTCCTCGCCCATCACACCCCGTCCCCAGCTCCAACATGCACTGGGCGCCCCCACCCCACACTCACCTGTGCTCCCGTCCCCGCACCCAGGGGGCACAGCCCATCGATGGTGGCTGGGGGCTTCTCCTTGGGGGCTGTCTTCAGGGCAGCCAGCGTGGAGCTCCAGGCATCCTCCTCCTCTTCCTTCTCCTCCTCCTCCTCCTCCTTCTTCCCCTTTGCTTTCTTGCCCCCGCCTGGGGGCTGCGGAGCGGGGGGAGCTCGGCGCTTGGGGGCCATGGGTGAGCTGTCCCTGTGGGGACTTCAGCCTCCGAGCCTGCGGGGACGTGAGGGATATCGAGTGCCCTTCCGGGAAAGTCTGGCGGGGCTGTGCCTTGCCTGTCCTACGTCTACAGCCGGGGAGCACGGCCAGGCAGGAGGAGGGGACTGCAGGGCGAGGTGCTGGGGCTTGGGGGGGCTCGGGCAGCCTCCTGTGCCGTCCTCTCCCCTCCTCGCAGTGGGTGCTGGGGGCAGCAAGGGGAGAGAGGAGAGGGGAACGGAGCAGGGGGCAGCCCTTGCCAAAATTTCTCAGCCCTCCCAAAAAAAAACAAAGCAGGCAGCAGCCAAGGACAAGCGGAATCAGCGGGCAGGCCTCCAGGCAGCAGTCCCCTCGGTGCCGTTCAGAAAACAGCCTCCAAGGAACCCAAACCCGTGCTGGTGCCGAAGCTGTGTTTTGCAGGTGGAGTCTCCTTTCTCTTCAGTACCTCGGGAGGCGAGATATGAAAGCAGGAACGCTTCCCAGCTGGTTTCTGTCAGTCGGCAGCCCGGCTCCCCAGGGGACAGGCGGCCAAACAGTGTCACCGCGCCTGCCCACAGCATCCCAGAGGCCCCGCTGGCTGCTGGCGGCTGGCCTCGGGTTTGGAGTCTGTTCAGAGACAGCAACAAGTGGCAGCCTGACGTGCTGCGAGGACTTCTAACACCTAAAAATGCCGTGCTGTCCTTCCTGCCACGGTGACACCGAGGACAGTGCCGCCTGGGTGGCTTTGGAGCTCCGCAGCCCACACCAGCCGAAGCCCACACCAGCAAGGGGACATCCCCAGGTCCTCCCCCGGGGCAGAAAGGGCGATTTATTTCCCCCAAAAGGTCTGCAGGCCACCTTGGCTGAGAAGCCAGGAGCTGCAGGAGGGGACCGAGAGGCTGACTGTGACCTGAGCTGCCTCAGGGAAGGGCTGGGGAAGGACCTGTTTGGAGAGCAGGGGGGTGGCGGTGGTCTGACGCTGAGCCAGGGGAAGGGGGAGGAAGGCTTAGTGCTTGTTTTATGTTGTCTTCTTTGTCTCTCGACACCTGAATTAGTGAGTTATGGTTTGTGTTAACTGACTATAGATAGATAAATTCCCTCAGTGTGAGCTGTGCTTCCTGCACTTACATTCAGCTCTGATTCGCCTCGGTCCCCACTCTGGAGCCGGGGCGCATGCTGCTCGTGCTCCAGCTCTGCTCGCACTCACTCACAGGGGGCTTTTCACCACCACAGCTGGTGGACGAGGCCGTGCGGCTGTAATGAGGCGTGAGAGGACCCCGTCACGGGGCGTAGCCATGCTGACCGAGGAGCAAGAAGTGCTTACCAGCTGAGTGCTCCCCAGCTGTACGCCCCTTGAAATGGCTGTAGGCACATACCCAGCGTGCAGAGCCACACGCCTTTACCTGCCCGGGGAAGGCAGGGTTTCGTCTTGTTTCCCAGAGATCCGACATGAAGAAGGACCTGGATTTCCCCCTTGTTTCCCTCCCCAGTGGATCCCCATGGTTTCTGGCTCCCTTCCCGGGGAGCAGCGCCAAAGGAGCTGGCGCAGGGCACCGCACCGGGCGTGTTTTGCTTTAGCAAATAGAAAAACAAAGCAAGGCATGACAAGGAAGAGGTGGCA